AAGAAATGCTGGGTTTACAGATGCTGAAAGAAGAAAAAAGGCATTTCCCTAGAGGAATGGCTCTTGATTTAGAATTCTAGTCTCCTCAATGGTGAGAGAATAAATTTCCATTTGTTTAAGGTATCCACTTCAATGCCTGAGAGAGCAGGCCAGACTATCATTTTGCCCCCACATCACATAGCCAAGAAAACAAGGCCAAGAGAGAGAAAGGGACTGACCACTCTCACCCAGCAGAGCTCTGGCAGGCCTGGGAGCAATAGTAAGCCACCTGTGGTTCAGGTCAAGGATTTCTAAACTGGGCTGTGCTCGCCAGGAGTTGTGAAGTCCTTTGTCCCATTTTACAGAGAAAGAAACTGAAGATCCTCCAAGCCTGGATCCCTTCTTAAGCCACACAGCTGGTGAGAGTTAAAATAGCTTTGCTCTTAGCCATTTGGTAGCCTTATTATGATCACTTTAATCACAACTATCAACTCAACAAATTAAACTCAAACCAAAGAGGATCTTGTTCATCGAGCACACAGCCCATGTGCTGGATCACTACACTTTGCACTGTCTTTGGGAATTCTCATCACAGCTCTGAGATGGAAATGATTGTAAGACCCATCAAACAGATGAAGAAATGGAGGCTCAGAGAGGTGATGGGACTTGTCCTACCACTTATAAACACAGAACTAGGAGTTGACACCAGGCTGGCCTCTGAAGGCTGTGTCATCCTCATCCCTGGCTCTTCTATTTCCACCCTTATCCCCTTCAGTCTCTTCACCCCACAGAAGTTGCAGTGAACAACTCATCTCAGGTCCTGCTCAGAACCTACCAGTGGTTTCTTTTACACTTACAGAAAGATCTAAGTCTGAATCATGGCCTGAGCAATGTGGAGCCATCTTGGCCTTGTCCGCCTCACCAACCTATTCTCATATCACACACACCGCCCTTCCTCCATGAGCTTCAACCACAATGGCCTTTCTGTCATTCACGTGCAGCTCCTCTACTGCGGGTCTCATATGTGTGTCTGATGTCTCTGGATCATACAAACAATGAAACCACACTCTACAACTAGCTGAAAGGAGAGTCATTTGCACTCACCCAGAGGCAGCTCTGAAGAAAGGTATTGTGATCTGTTTCCAAAAAGTCATAGCCTTGACATCAGTGAAGAAATGGGCTGAGTTCAACCATGTTCCATAGACTCCCATTGTCCTGGAGATGAGAGAGAGAAGAGGAAGGGCTGGTTGGTCCTGAGTGTGGTGAGACCTGGGGACTCCTGAACCCATGGACAAGGATATAGCCACAGAGGGCTAGAGCTGAGAGTGAAGAATCCAGCTGATATGAAGTGATTGGAGACGCACAAGAATGCCCAGACTTAAACAAAATACCCATTTGACCTAGCCTTGATAGCTTGATAATCTGAACTCGACTAGAAGAAGATTAAAAAAAAAATTTTTTTTTGATAAAAGAAACGAGAGTGAATTGATGCAGTTTGATGAACTTAACATATACTTACGGATGTAGTAACTCAAAATATGAACTGAGAGGGAAGGAGTCTACACATCAAGTATTAATCTTAGCCCTTATGTTTACATAGTAGATAGGGAAGGGAAACTTGGACAATGACTACCTAAATTGAGGGGGCTATAAAAACACGAAGTGACTGGCTTACAAGTTTTTAAGAGGGAGTCTAGTTTAAGAGTTTGTGGGAAAGACAGAGTCCCCACTGAATGGTTTTCATCTTGTCTAGATGGGTCTGGTAAAAAAAAGATGGGGAAAAGATTCTTATGATTCCATAGTGAGTAACTGTTAACATGATGAATTGTGATAGTCACAACAGTAGAGGTAGAAGATATGTAACATAAAAGGGGGAGTAGTTAATCTTATATTCCGGGAACAGAAGAGCCTAGGACCATCAAGGGAGATGCGCACAAGCGGAATGTGGGACCCTCTCCAGAGAAGCAG